GGATCTCTGCAACTTGTCTACAGTAAACATTTAAAGTGGTTGTAAAAAAGACTCCATATACCCAGAGAAGTGACTGGCCTCAGGTGATACACAGAGATACAACAAATCCTCCTAAATACGTTGAACCGGTTTATCTGTAGCAATATCTTCTCTATATTTGTTCAAAGTCCAGAATTTTATACAGCTTGTCTGAGAAGTCAGAAAAAAAAGGAGTCAGAGAGCTGAAGTCACTCTCTTCAGAGCTCATTGAGGTGAGCTTTGAGAGATGATCGGTGGGAAGGGACACACCCCCTTCACACCCCCCTTTTCTCTTGGTGTCAGGAATACTTGTCATAAGTGATTCATGCTGATTGCAGAGGAAGGAGGCAGTAGAAAGAAATTGCACTTAATGCTCTGGACTGAGACAAGTACACACTGTAGAGGGATATGCTTTGTTCATATTCCTTGTCTGAGGTTTACAACCACTGTAAGTGATCTCTATTTACTAAATACCAATTTATACTATTTATTAGTGTGTGGCCCCCTTGTCCTAACTAGAGGCTACTATGTGGGTTTAGTTTGTGGCTGGGCTGTACTTGGCTCAGGCTGATTGTATAGTTCTTCACTTGGTTTCTCCCTAAGTTTAGGTTGTCTTGTGATGTGTCTCACTGTGGCCAGTAGATGTCACTGCTATCACTGGACATAGGATGAGATTTCACCAACCAAACTAGAGGGATATTAAACCACAAATGTCCCATATTGCAGCTTACCAATCATTGGGTGTGGTGGCTGCATTCCTTTTCTTTGGCTTTTTTCCCTGTTTTCACCTGGTGATCTGGCCAGTAAACATGCCTTCTGTATTAGAGCGCCCCAACTCTGGAGACAGCAGCATGGTCAGTCTTTGGGGGAGGGGAGTGAGTGTTAGATGTATTAGCAGGTTTACCAAACGGAACTAATTGAAGCCAAACTCCATCTCACACTTCATAATCAGTTACATCAAACAGGTTTTCCTTTTGGGCTAAAAGTTTTATATGAATAAATAAAAGCTGCTCATTGTAAGCTCCCAGTCAGTGGTAAATGGTCTGCCTCATCCCTGGAACTGATACATTCTGCTGCAGAGTTTTTATATAAAACAGATTTACTGGCTAGATCACCAGATGAATATAGAAGAAATCCTAAAAAATAAAACTAATACTGTCTAGTCCTAACTTTTGTATCCTATATGATAAGTTGTACATTACATTGGCCTTCATTATTTTGCACCCATTTCCTCCCAGCTGGACATTTTATATCGGATGATGCTGTGATTGGAGCACAGACTTTTACATGGTGATAATAATGTGATAACATCCTCCAACTTTGGACCCTTAAACAGTGATAATGAGGGAGGAGGCAATAACATAGTTACATAGTTAGTCTGGCTGAAAAAAATACAAAAGTCCATCCAGTTCAATCATAGGAAAAAAAATTATAATCCTACACCCACAGTTGATCCAGAGGAAGGCAAAAAAAAAATCCCCAGCAAAGCATAATCCAATTTGCTCCTGCTGGGAAAAAGATTCCTTCCTGATCCCCCGAGAGGCAATCGGATATTCCCTGGATCAACTTTTACATAAATGTTATATCCAGTTATATTCTGTGTATCCAAGAAAGAATCCAGGACTTTCCTACAGCAATCCACTGAGCTGGCCACAACAACAACTCTTGAGGAAGTCTATTCCACATTCTCACAGCTCTTACTGTGAAGAAACCTTTCCGTGTTTGGAGATGACATTTCTTTTCCTCCAGACGTAAAGAGTGCCCCCTTGTCCTCCGTGATGACCTCAGGGGGATAACTACACCGAGTTCATTATATGAATCACTGATGTATTATACATGGAGATCATATCCCCCCCCTTATGTATTATACATGGTGATCATATCCCCCCCTTATGTATTATACATGGAGATCATATCCCCCCTTATGTATTATACATGGAGATCATATCCCCCCTTATGTATTATACATGGAGATCATATCCCCCTTATGTATATTATACATGGAGATCATAACCCCCCCTTATGTATTATACATGGAGATCATATCCCCCCCCTTATGTATTATACATGGAGATCATATCCCCCCTTATGTATTATACATGGAGATCATATCCCCCTTATGTATTATACATGGAGAGATCATATCCCCCCTTATGTATTATACATGGAGATCATATCCCCCCCTTATGTATTATACATGGAGATCATATCCCCCCTTATGTATTATACATGGAGATCATATCCCCCCTTATGTATTATACATGGAGATCATATCCCCCTTATGTATTATACATGGAGATCATATCCCCCCTTATGTATTATACATATCCCCCTTAGATCATATCCCCCCTTATGTATTATACATGGAGATCATATCCCCCCCTTATGTATTATACATGGAGATCATATCCCCCCTTATGTATTATACATGGAGATCATATCCCCCCTTATGTATTATACATGGAGATCATATCCCCCCTTATGTATTATACATGGAGATCATATCCCCCCTTATGTATTATACATGGAGATCATATCCCCCTTATGTATTATACATGGAGATCATATCCCCCCTTATGTATTATACATGGAGATCATATCCCCCCTTATGTATTATACATGGAGATCATATCCCCCCTTATGTATTATACATGGAGATCACATCCCCCCTTATGTATTATACATGGAGATCATATCCCCCCTTATGTATTATACATGGAGATCACCCTATCCCCCCTTATGTATTATTTATACATGGAGATCATATCCCCCCCTTATGTATTATACATGGAGATCACATATCCCCCCTTATGTATTATACATGGAGATCATATCCCCCTTATGTATTATACATGGAGATCATATCCCCCCCCTTATGTATTATACATGGAGATCATATCCCCCCTTATGTATTATACATGGAGATCATATCCCCCCTTATGTATTATACATGGAGATCATATCCCCCTTATGTATTATACATGGAGATCATATCCCCCCCTTATGTATTATACATGGAGATCATATCCCCCTTATGTATTATACATGGAGATCCTATCCCCCCTTATATTATTATACATGGAGATCATATCCCCCCTTATGTATTATACATGGAGATCATATCCCTTTATGTATTATACATGGAGATCATATCCCCCCTTATATGTATTATACATGGAGATCATATCCCCCCTTATGTATTTATACATGGAGATCATATCCCCCCCCTTATGTATTATACATGGAGATCATATCCCCCCTTATGTATTATACATGGAGATCATATCCCCCCTTATGTATTATACATGGAGATCATATCCCCCCCTTATGTATTATACATGGAGATCATATCCCCCCTTATGTATTATACATGGAGATCATATCCCCCCTTATGTATTATACATGGAGATCATCCCCCCCCCTTATGTATTATACATGGAGATCATATCCCCCTTATGTATTATACATGGAGATCATATCCCCCCTTATGTATTATACATGGAGATCATATCCCCCCCTTTATGTATTTATACATGGAGATCATATCCCCCCTTATGTATTATACATGGAGATTATATCCCCCCTTAATCTCCTCTTCTCAGTAGAGAATACATTCAGTTCCTCTAATCTTTCCTCATAGCTGATCTCCTCCATACCTCGTATCAGTTTGGTTGCCCTTCTCTGTTCTTCCTCCAGTTCCCCAATGTTCTTTTTGTGAATTGGAGTCCAAAACTGAAACTGCATATTCCAGATGAGGTATTACTAATGATTTATACCGGGGGGGGGGGGGGGTGATAACTCTCTCTCTCTCTCTCTCTCTCTCTCTCTCTCTGGAGTCTATACCTGTCCCAGACCCTTCTCCACCATTGAACCCCCCAGATATTTCTCCACCATTGACCCCCCCCAGTTGTACCCCCCTAGTATGTATGATGCATATTTCTTAGCCCCCAAGTGCAGAACCTTACATTTATCACCATTAGCCCTCATTGGCCCCATAGTCCCCCAATTACACAGAGCATTGAGGTCGGCTTGTAAGTTGGAGACATCCTGTAAGGACGTTATTCCCCGGCACAGCTTGGTGTCATCTGCAAAGACTGGAATGGGATTTATAATCTCACACCCCATATTGTTTATATATATATATTAATAAGTAAGGGGCCCAACACTGAACCTTGGGGTACCCCACTAATAACACTGAACCCTGGGGTACCCCACTAATAACACTGAACCTTGGGGTACCCCACTAATAACACTGAACCTTGGGGTACCCCACTATATAACACTGAACCTTGGGGTACCCCACTGATAACACTGAACCTTGGGGAACCCCACTGATAACACTGAACCTTGGGGACCCCACTGATAACACTGAACCTTGGGGTACCCCACTGATAACACTGAACCTTGGGGTACCCCACTAACAACACTGAACCCTGGGGTACCCCACTAACAACACTGAACCCTGGGGTACCCCACTGATAACACTGAACCCTGGGGTACCCCACTAATAACACTGACCTTGGGGTACCCCACTAATAACACTGAACCTTGGGGTACCCCACTGATAACACTGAACCTTGGGGAACCCCACTAATAACACTGAACCTTGGGGTACCCCACTGATAACACTGAACCTTGGGGTACCCCACTAACAACACTGAACCTTGGGGTACCCCACTAATAACACTGAACCTTGGGGTACCCCACTAATATCACTGAATCTTGGGGTACACCCACTGACACCCCCAGACCATTCAGAGTATGAATCATTAACCACTACTTATTGAATACGATCTTTTAGCCAGTTTTCCATCCATTTACATTCAGATTTTTCCAGCCCATAGACTTTACCTTACACATTAGCACGTGTGTGGGGAACTGTGTCCAAGTATACCACGTCCTCCGCCACCCCTCTGTCCAAGTATACCCACGTCCACCGCCACCCCTCTGTCCAAGTATACCACGTCCCCCGCCACCCCTCTGTCCAAGTATACCACGTCCCCTGCCACCCCTCTGTCCAAGTATACCACGTCCACCGCCACCCCTCTGTGCAAGTATACCAGTCCACCGCCACCCCTCTGTCCAAGTATACCACGTCCCCCGCCACCCCTCTGTCCAAGTATACCACGTCCACCGCCACCCCTCTGTCCAAGTATACCACGTCCACCGCCACCCCTCTGTCCATGTATACCACGTCCACCGCCACCCCTCTGTCCAAGTATACCACGTCCTCCGCCACCCCTCTGTCCAAGTATACCACGTCCTCCTCCACCCCTCTGTCCAAGTATACCACGTCCACCGCCACCCTGTCTGTCAAGTATACCACGTCCACGCCACCCCTCTGTGCAAGTATACCACGTCCACCGCCACCCCTCTGTGCAAGTATACCACGTCCACCGCCACCCCTCTGTGCAAGTATACCACGTCCACCGCCACCCCTCTGTCCAAGTATACCACGTCCTCCGCCACCCCTCTGTCCAAGTATACCACGTCCTCCGCCACCCCTCTGTCCAAGTATACCACGTCCTCCGCCACCCCTCTGTCCAAGTATACCACGTCCTCCGCCACCCCCTCTGTCCAAGTATACCACGTCCTCCGCCACCCCTCTGTCCAAGTATACCACGTCCACCGCCACCCCTCTGTCCAAGTATACCACTAAGATTATAATTTTTTTTTCTATGGTTGAACTGGACGGACTTTTGTGTTTTTTTTTCAGCAAGACTAACTATGTAAATGATGGTGGTCTTCAGGATCAGTCCAGTCTTCATCTTGGTTGTTCTCCCCCCATCCGCACTCTCTGACCTCTGGTGGGGCTCAGCCCGCTGTTCTTCATGACTAAATCATGGACTAAATAAGGAAGTGCAGTACTTCTTGTGTTGGGAAGATGGCGATGAGTGATAGAGGGGGTGGGGACCCTCGTCCTATAATCCCCTCATCACTGTCCCTCCTATAAAAGACAGTTCTGGTTGTTTCCTCACTCTCTGACTAAGGTCCATGAATAAAGAAATGACCTGGTAGGAGATCAGAGGAGCCATTTACTAGTTCCCTTGAGTGTGGAATTGTAAGCTCCTCAGAGACCAAGCTGCCTGATGTGGGCGGAGTCCTGGTTTTGGGGAACCAATCAGCTCCTGTCTAGTAATCCTCTTTGTCTTTGTATTTTAGTCCATGGCCGGGAGATGAGGAAAACCTCCGAGGATTGTCTCACTTTGTCTCCAGACTGGAAAGTAGAAGATGAGGACATCACACAGTATAGTCCAGGAGAAAGCCCGGCTCCCTCCAATGTCCATCCGGCACCACCCAGTGTAGATGGACCATCGGATTCCTCGTATCCTGAGGAACCTCAGACTGTGCGGGACCGGGCTGGCCTTCCAACAGGGAAGAGCTTCTCCTGTACTGAGTGCGGGAAATGTTTCTCTTCTAAATTCAGCCTTAATAGGCATAAAAGATCTCACACGGGGGGAAAAAACTGTGTTTCTGTTTTGAGTGTGGGAAATGTTTTGTACAAAAATTTGAACTTGTCAGACATCAGAGATCCCACACGGGGGAAAAATCATATGCCTGTCTTGAGTGTGGGAAATGTTTTTCAAATAATGGCAGTCTTAATAGGCATAAAAGATTTCACACAGGGGAGAAACCGTATTCCTGTCCTGAGTGTGGGAAATGTTTTTTAGATAAGGGCAGTCTTAATAGGCATAAAAGATCTCATACAGGGGAGAAACCGTATTCCTGTCCTTGGTGTGGGAAATGTTTTGTACAAAAATTTAAAACTTGTCAGACATCAAAGATCTCACACAGGAGAAAAACCGTATTCCTGTCTTCAGTGCGGGAAATGTTTTTCAGAGAAGTCCAATCTTTACACACATCAGAGACTGCATACAGGTGAAAAGCCATATTGCTGTTCTGAGTGTGGAAAATGTTTTTCAAAGAAGTGCAATCTTTCTGCGCATCAGAGATCTCACACTGGGGAGAAGCCATATTCCTGTCCTGAGTGTGGGAAATGTTTTTCACAGAAGTCCCATCTTTACAAACATCAGAGATCTCACATGAGGAG